TATCCTTTTCACTCAAAATCTTTGAAATTGTACTTCGATCACAATTATATTCTGAGGAAAGTTCATCAATAGTAAGGGATAGGGTTTCATTTTTTCGCTGACATATTTCTTGTTTTGTTTTTATTGTCAGGGTCATTCTTTTTTTTCTTGGCCGTTCTGTATCTTTGTTCATTGCAAATCTGGTTTTTTTTTTAATTTTATTTTTACAGGTTGAAATTTTATTATAAGCAAGCTTAAAATATAAGAAATTGTCTTATCTTACTAATACAACTCTTTTTATAATAGATTATTATTATTTACTTTGCCTGTAGCGTTATCTCAGGCATCAATGACAATCATGATTTTTTCATTTTTATTTTGCATTATCACTTATCTTATTGTTAATTTTTTAGTATTTTCACACCTCCGAATTGTAGGTCTCATGGTTTATGAAAAGCTGCATCAAAAAGGCAATGTGCATACAGATAGCATGCATGAGACTTAACTGAAAATAAGGGCTGTAAGCAGCATTCAAAATTTCAAGCTTAAATTATTCTTATGGGAACAATACATTAAATTAATATGTGAATATATTATACACTAAAAAAACAATGAAACAAAGATAATCCTGAATTTAAGAATTCACAGTATTGCTATAGTAAGATTTATGGTTAGGATTGATTCTAACAAATTGTATTTTCTAGATCTAGTACTATTAGCGAACTAGCTATGGTTACTGTATTATTTATTCGGAATGTTGGTTTGTTTTTGCTATCCAAACTATTATAGTAATTTTTTTATTTTTCACATATAATTAAATATCGTTGGCACTAATCATTAATATAAATATTACAGATTTTTTTGTTCAATTGTTATCAAGAGCTAATGAATGCCTGCATTTGTACCAGTTCTGCTCGCTTCACCGATGCTCCTTTTGTAAATACAAGACTTCATTAACAATCATTTCAGACATTTAAATTATTGGTAATTAGTTCACTGACATGTTCATTTTACTGATGCGTTTTAGTTCACCAACACTTAATTCACTGACAATTAATTCACCGCCAAGTTCAATTCGAGTAGTTTGAAGAACAAGAAACCAAATTACATAATTAAACACTTGACCTAAGTTAGTGTTAGTGTTAGGATTAGGCCGATTTGCAGTGATTAAGTTCATTGGTGAATTAATTGTTGGTAAAATGAACATTTCAGTGAATTAATTGTTGGTGATTTAAATGTCTGCAAAATGAACTTGGTAGTGTTGTATCTACAAAGTGTCAGTAAAATGATACGTGTCCGAATATGCATATGTAAACTTATGGAATATATTAAATAAAATAGTGTAGATCATTGTTGATTTTTTTAATCAAATTTTTTGTGCAAATATTACATAATATACAATCTTATTCTATAATCGTATTCTGTGTGGTAAATTTAAAAAAAACTATGTGCAATTGCTCTGTAATTGTTTTGACTATGTGTACTATTTATATATATAAAGTTCTTTTGTGTGGCATACACACATCTGTTAAAAAGTGTGAAAATTTTTTGATTCTTTGTGCTGCGCATAGTTGCTAATTTTAGATCTATAGTTAAACCTTATATTTTGATTGGTTATTTGCTTTGTGTTACGTGCCTTTTATTCGATTCTTATTGGCTAAGGATATCAGCGGGGGAATATTAATTATAAAAAAATATATATTTATATTGATAGTGATATTAATAAAAAATTATAATAAAGTTGATATATGCGGGAGAATTTATATAGTTAGAAATTTGTCTTATAGTTTATGTTGATATTAACGAGATGTTGATATTAACGAGGTTGATATTAACGGGGGTCACCTGTATTTGTAAAAATTTGCTAAATGATTTTTTGCCAATCTAGTTAAGTTATTAATTTGGCATTATCTATATAATAAAATAAACTATTTTTCTATTATATAATATTATTTTACAATTGTCGTAACAATATGAGCATTAGGCCAAATATGTTTAGACCAGAAGGTTTAAATAGATACCCCATAGTTTGGTTACAGGTATAGCAGATAGTATAGAACCTTAGTATAGTACAACCACTTTGAGTGGGCTACTTAAATTAGGCATGTGTAGCTTGATGTACTTTATTACAATATATAGTGTCTGAACTTGACTTAATAAAATTCGCTAACCAAGAAGGTCTCCTTTAATTAAAAATTATCATAACAATAATGTTGATAATTTTAAATATTTGATCAAATGCTTGTTTAAAAAAGTTTGGTGTGTTTTAATATGTATAAAACTTAATAGCAAAAACTGTTTATATTAACCAATGAACTTAATAGAAAAAAATCAAATATAAATTCAACTTTTATATCAAATATATTACTTAAACAGATGCTACTTTTAAAAAGTTAAGAGTTCTAAATGACTAGGATATTATTAATATTTGCTAAGAATACATAAAAAATTATGATAAATAAAATCAAAGTAATCTTGCCAAAGAATAAAAATTGAGATTTAATTTAATTTTTTAAAAATTAATTTTATTGTAAATAATTAAAATAAATAAAGCTTTGTTTGAATGAAAATATATCTTGCCTTTGAAATTTTATACACTTTTTTAAAACTGAATTTTTGTCAAAAATTAATTAGAAATAAATAAAGACTTCATTTAAAAAAAATAGATTGTATTAAAGAATAGGAATTAAAATTTACAATTTACAAGTGTGACAAGTATATATATTGATATTTAGTCTTATTATAATATACTGTATATTAGTTATCTAATCTACATATCTAATATATTTGCTACTGCTATACTAAATCTTATTATTTTCAAAATCTATAACTTAATCAAATTAGCCAAAAATTATTTAGCAAATTTTACAGATATCTCAGAATTATGATAATACCTGTAATATACACATATAAAATCTATTTTATATTTGACATGTTGAATTTTTTAAAACTTACTAGTTAAAGTTACACAATTTAGAAATTAAGCTTCAATCTATTAATTATATGCTTGAAAGAATTTTAAATCAATTCAAATAAAATTTAACTAAGAAATTAATTAATAAATTAATTAATAATATTTAATTGATTAAATAAGAAGAGTTTTGTAGACCAATTTTAGCCTATTAAAGATTTTAAGAGCTGTTAGTGCTTGTATAGCTTATTTAGATACTATATTACTTTAAAATAATTATTACTATAGCTACATAATAATATTTAATACAATACTACTGCAATACTATATTGGTACAGTAGTGTTATAGTATTATTTACTATAGCTTAAACTATTGTTCAAGCTATCCCTTAAATTGTAACACAGGCAAATTTGCCTGCGAAGATTTTTACTAATTTTTTTAATATTTAAATTTT